GCTAGAGAAACGCGTAAAAAGGAAGCGATGGATGAAAACCTGGCTGCAAAAAAGAGAACATTACACGCATCTTAATTTATTAAATGAAATACGACAACAGGATGAAGAAGAAGACTTCCAAAATTACTATCGAATGAAAGAAGCCTGCTACGATCATTTGTTGCAAATGGTCAAACCATATTTGGAAAAACAAGATACCTGTATGAGGAAAGCAATATCCGCCGAAGAAAGATTAGCGGGTTAGATCGATTGGCGGTGGCGGGAGTGAAGCGCTCGGCAGCGGCGCGGGCGACGCCGGCGGCGGCAATTCTTCGTCGTTTGGCACGTCTTGCTCCATTGCGTCGCGGACGGTGACTGACGCGGGAATGATTCGAGCGGTTACACGGTCAGTCTGGCATCAGTCTGATGTCAATCACAACAGAATGATAAAAAAAATAAAATATTTAATTTTTGTCATTCTGGACCATCAGTCAGTCAGTCAACTGGTTAGACGATAATTCTCGCGGCATTCTGAGCAAACTGATGGACTGAACTGACGCCAAACTGATCGTGTAACCCTTGACTAAGCTTTCATTTACATTAGGTTTCATCAAAAAAATCTTTTACGTTAAGAAAAAAGAAGAGACAAGCAAACTTTGCATAGCTCTGGCAAGGGGACATCCGTAAACAAGACAAGACCTATCAAGCTCAGCCGATCGCACTCGGAACCTGATTCGCCGTTTCGCTCGCTCTGCGTTTAAGCGTACAGTTCTGTCTCGCTCGCTCGATTGAATGTGATTTACAGACGTGTGCATGTGCGAGAGTTGCTTATGTACTTGAGTCGGATCATATATTTTATTTGATGCTAGTATGAGCGTACCGTTTCTTCCCGTTTGTTTTAATCTAAGGATAATACCCCTTGCCACCACCTACAGATGCGAGAGTGGTTTTTCAACTTTAGTTACCTCCATTAAAAACAAATGCCAGAAACACAGCACTTGAGATGCGCTTTAAGTGAAATTAAACCTAATATAAAAAACTTATAAATGCAAGACAATAGGGATGATGACTATTTTTTTTTTCTTCGTTTATCAGGTAGATTATCAAAAAGTATTGGACACGTATTTTTTCTTTTTTCACAAAATATAAACATTGCAGAGATATATTAATTTGAAAAGTCGCATAACGTCACGTTTGAGTACACTTTTAAGTCAAAATTCACTAAAAAGTGATGTCACGAGCCCCTACTCCCAAACTTTGACGCGCTTTAACTTTGTCATTTTTTGCTTGATTGCCCAAAGAAAAAATACGTGTCCATTATTTTTTGATCTTACTGACGGTCTAAATAGAATTTCGTTTACTGTACCCCGTCATCACCCAACCTTCACAATGATTATTATTATAAATTCATAGTTTAAATATGAAACAAGGTAAAATTGTAATACTGGTCTGCAATTTGTGTTTTTTTACGTGGATGTTTTGATTAATAATAATAATAAATTTGTGATTAATAAACATATTAGAATTTGCGTGTATTGTTTTTATTAATAACATTTTTAAGGCGGGGTAAAATCTGTTGGTAGCAGTATTGGAAAGGTCACATCCACACATCCAACTCGGCTGTAATATCTCAGTACCTGGAGACCAAGGTCTTCGAACACTGCGTGTTTCAGGTCTATATACGGAGCTGAGACGTGGTCATTGAGAATAGGCCTCATGAGAAGGCTCAGAGTCGCACATCCAGCGTTGGAGAGAGCTATCCTCGGTTCTTCTTTACGTTGGACGTTGCCTCTTGACGACGCCAAGGTGCTACAATGGCAGCCACGCACCGAAAACGCAGTGTCGGTACACTCCTCACCAGGTGGACTGATGACATCAAGCGAGCTGGGGGAAATGGATACGGAAAGCGCAGGATCGTTGTGTGTGGACATCTTTAGAGGTGGCTTATATGCAGCAGTGGACGTCCATGGCTGATGATGGTAATGATTGAACAACATCATGGAATGGCCAACTACCTACATGGCAAATTAAAGCAAACACACCAAGTTGGTACTGATGTGACCTTTACTATACGATACGAAACATGTCTCCCCGTGTCACTAAACAAACTGCAGATAATCCCAAAAAGAATCTTGGATTTCATTTAGATCGTCATCTTACCATCCAAAACCTATATTCACAAAATAACATAGCACTGTTTGCTGGGTCAAAAGTCACAGCTGGAAAACTAATTGGATGGATTCTGAAACTATTCTCGACTCTGGACCATACTTCTAACTCCTCCACTCTGTAGTTGTGTATAGTTTAATGAATACCATAATTATTTATTACCTATGTGTAGTATCTTGTAGTTCTTGATAGCACGGGCCCAGTGCTCTACAACAACCTAAATTTGGGTTGTTATGTGATGGAAGCGTGGGGCCTTGGGCCTTTGCCTGGTTCGCCCCCCCCCCCCCCTCTAAGGTAAGGCCACCACAAGGCCATGATACAGAAAATAAATCAATAAGTAAATTGTAGACTGCAGTCGTCATTTGGCTACCTGGATATATAAAAAAAAGACAAAGTTGCTAGAAACCACTAGTATGGCCGTTTAGTCAGCAGTTAGCACTTGCCCAACAGCAATAACAACATTTAACTTCTGATTGTGAAAAATATTATCCTATGTCTTGCAGCTTAAGAATGGCTAGAGGAATTTCGACGCGGCCATCAGGGCCGCGGTAGCATAATTGGTCAGTGCATTCCCCCGGATAGCGAAGGGTGCGGGTTCGAGTCCCGCACTTTCTTTGGATTTAAATGTCAAGCAGTTTAATGCTTAAAAAAAATTATAACTATAATTGCTATTTCTTCTTTCAAATGTTTAATACTTGTAAAAGTATTCATTTGACATTGTGGGTTACCTACAATGCGAAGAGATGGCGCTGCCTTGCAGCTTAAGAATGGCTAGAGGAATTTCGACGCGGCGATCAGGGCCGCGGTAGCATAATTGGTCAGTGATTGAAGTGTGAAACAACAAAAGTTAACACAGATGAAGTTGCAGACAGACCCTAGTAATGGTCTATGGGTTCGAATAAAATTAAGAAGATTGTCAAATACGTGAACATTTCAGAAAAGTTAAAACTGGCAAAGAGCTCTCTGGATAATTTGTGTGAGAGCGACCGCTCGCAAAGCCGGCGCAGCTGCGGCGACAGCCGAAATCAATAAAAGGCGTAAATATGGGGCCTTGGGAGAGCCGTATATATTTACGCCTTTTGCCGTGGAGATCTTGGGGCCTTGGGGTGCGGAAGCTCGTCAGCTATTTAAGGAGATTTCCACACGCCTCATCGACGCCTCAGGGGATCCAAGGGCTGGCGCGCATTTCGGACAAAGGTTGAGCCTGGCCATTCAACGGGGAAACGCAGCCAGCCTCTTGGGCACCCTAACCTGCAAGCGCAGCGATTTGGGGTCGATTTTTTATATAATATAGTTTTATTTTTAGTTTGATATAAGTATTTAGTTTATTTAGTAGTTTTAATCCATTTTGTGCTTTTAAATAATATATTATTTTAGGAATTTGTATATAATAAAATGTTAGTATGAAATAATTAAAATAAAAGATCCCCTAATAAATACAATAGGTAACTTAAAGGTTTGATTGGGTTAATAATTGTATTTTTTGAGTAACAATTACAATTTTTTAGATGATCATTTAAATGTGTGCTATATATAGAAAATATGCATTTGTGTCCTGGCAGTCAATATCCTATTTTGGCATAAAATACATAAAAAGCTATTGATTCTGCAGCTACATGCCAATGAACATAACAACAATGGCTTTTCAGAGATATATATTTTAATGTAATTCAATTGAATTTCAAAAGATAGTTACCTTATACCTATAAATAACACTATTTGTATTTAACAGCAATCAAAATGTCATTGAATACAACATTATAAAAATAAGGCCTTTTATAAAAGTAGGCTTTATTTAGTACATTAAAAATAATAAAAATGTTATGTATGATATGTTTTACTAATCAAAATGTTTACTAGGACTTAAAATTTTAACTTTTTAGAATATGAGAATTAAATACTACTTATAACTTTTATGAAGTATAATATACAACATTATTGAATAAAACATTATTGAAATTATGTTTCTAACTAATTGTATTAATAGCAATATGATATTATGTATCTAAATGTTGCTACTTCTGTTAAAAGCTGACGAGTTTTGTAAAGATGTCCTGAATGGGTGGTATTTTGAATGCTTTCAATAAGTCAATTTGATTGAGTATAGTTCCCTTTGTTTGAGTTAAATTAAGTAAGAATATGTTATATATTTTTTTTATTATTTTTAAAGCATGTAACTGCTCGATGTTTAAATCAGATTGGTCAGTGCATTCGCCCGGATTGAGAAGGGTGCGGGTTTGAGTCCCGTCTGCTGCCTGGTCTGCGTGGATTTTTTTCTAGTTATATTTTCTTAAGAATATGTTGCTTTAATTAAGTCATTAGAAAGCATATATAGATATAATAAATAATGTACACTGAAATTATATACATAGATACTGAAACATTAGACTAATAATGAATGAGCAAAATAATAATAGAGAATATAAATGCAGCATTTTACTTTATTCAAAATTACAAAATTATAATTAACAGCATTTCTATGTAAATAACCAAATAAAAATACATTATTAAGTTTAAAATCATCATCATCAGTCTATTAATGTCCCCACTGCTGGGGCACAGGCCTTCCCTGTGGATGGAATAGAAAATTTTTGGTCACCCATCCAATGACCATTGCGAAAGTTGCTTAACATCAACAATCGCAGCCGAACGCGCTAGCCACCTGCGCCATCGAGCTTCATAAGGTAAAAGTCAATGCTAGTATTTAATTGAAGTTTTTAGTGCGCCCCTGGTACCTAAATTTACATTAAATGAAATCATATGTTTCGATAGTTATTTATTCTACTCTAATGTGCTAAAACAAATAATTGAACAGTTATAATTTCTATTTTAAGGTTTCCAGTACTACTCACAGCAGCAAGAGGATTCCCTTATCAATTTCGTAAACGTTCCAACAATATCTCATTTAAAGGATATCCACAACACTTATTTATTCTTGAAATGTTGACCAGAAAACTTCTCATTATAACATGAACACAACTTGTCTTTTTGGATTCGGTGGCCAGATAACAAAACAAATAAAGCAAGGACTGAATGAGGGTAGCTACAACTAAGAGAACAACACAACAGAGAGAACTCTAAATTAAGATGAGATCCGAATCCGATCCAGAATCACTGAGAATCCCAGAATTCAGCGCGATTAACTTGCCTGCGCTCCAAAGAGTGAAGTAAGTATACCAAAGGAATGCGCGCTGCGCTCCACAGACTAGTTAGAGATAGCTGCGCTCCAGCAGCTTACAATCTGACATCCCAATATGACAGACAGAACAGCTGGGCTACGTTCAAAACCTACAGTCTAGGTGCAACAAATGTCAAAGTTGACATTACAGCTTCATCCATTTTTTCAAAAAATTGAAACGGTAAAATAAAAAGTTGCACTTAGAGCGTAGGTTTTGAACGCAGCGCTGTGTGTCTTTTTTTGATAACTCCCTAAATAAGGAAGACAAAGGCATAGCCTACCACAGGCTGAAAGGCCTATTAGACTTTCCAATTTTAAGGGACGCTTTCCCTAACTAACGGTAGTGTAATCAATATAAGGGAGTAATGGACCCGATCTAGGGCGAACGGCGTGTCCCAATCTCTCTCACTCGCTTAGGCTCTAACAACGGGTGGGATCGTTTAGCAGTCGAATTAGGTAGTGTATTGGCGCGATTGCTGGTCTTCATATCTATCTTGCATCTGATGCTTAGAGCATATACAAATGAAGATAACTTAAGCTAGCGGCGAACCTCTACCAAAGTATGTGGCCACTCTGACCTTATTGGCGTATGCTCTTAGGGTGCGGCCAGAGTGCACTCAGATTCAGATTCAGATTCCGAAAACAAGCGCGAGAAATAAACAGTGTAGTCTAAGCAGGTTGCCTGCTTTTTCTCGCGCTTTGTTTTCTGAGTCTGAATCTGAATCTGAATCAGGAGTGCACTCTGGCCGTACCCTTCGACTACACTGTTTATTTCTCGCGCTTGTTTTCAGAATCTGAATCTGAATCTGAGTGCACTCTGGCCGCACCCCATGATCTGATGCCAGTCTGTCTCAATCTGATTAAGATTGGTGAAAAAAATTTTAAAAAAAACCTGTATGATTGTGATTTATTTCAATCTGACATAAATGTGGACTTAATGCAATAGGATCGAAACTATGCAAAATAACGATTAAAATCATTTATTAACCCTGTCTTTTACAGTTCAAAGTTCATTTTACATTTATTAAAATCTGATATGATTATGTACACCTAAACTCAATTTCACAACAGTGTATCCTTGTTCTAATCTATGCAAAATGAAAAAGATAGACTAATGTTTAGGTTAAAATTTAGTTTTAAGTTCACAGAATAGTGCCAGAATCGGAACCATTGTCACATGCAGATGCAAAGATGTAAAACCCGGGCACAGTGAGATATTCACAGCAAAGGCTCTTTGCTTTGTTGTTACAATATATCAACCCAACCACCAAGTTGGTCTTAGTGGTTGGGTTACAAAAATGTAACGAATAGAAAATTTATGCCCAATTTATTTGCCAAATTACTTATTATTTTAATAAATGAAGTTTTGCTTAGAGCTCTCGCTATATTTTACCTATTACAGAAAAACTCTGGCTGCAATTTATGAAATAATTATATTTATTATATAAATTGCAGCTACTATTGTGAGTTATCGAATGATAAAAACGTTTAAATAAATTAAAATTCTAAAAAACTTAAATACAGAGACAGCTACATGGTCATTTTAAATATCCCGCGCTATGTTTCTCACGCCCAGTTTGACGTCACACACTCTGGGGTTCTCAAAAGATCCTTACCGCACCCTATTATTGTTCTCAATAAAAAAGGCGTATATTATTTTATATGAATACAAAACAAAACCTTATATTTTATAGACATAAGGTCTAGTGTTGTATGTTGTGTATTTTTAGTTCTCAAACTTGCCACCAGATGTCACAATGAAATCAAACTAGACTAGCGCAGAACACACCAATCAGATACTGGGAACTTTGACGCAATTTGCAAATGGCCGTGAAAAGGACCGAGGAGATCGAGGGTGTATGAAAAGCTAATGGTGGATGATTTCGTGATAAAACCTTGTGAATTAAATCTTATATTTAGTGTGGTGCTGTTATTGAAATACAAAATGTGCCAAAAAGTGAGAATCCAGTCTTAATGGTGGTATAGGAAACGCCTGTTAACCACTGGAGGGTCGATCGACGAGACATTGCTGGCAGAAGGGTAAAGTTCTAGCTTATTTTCTGCTCGTTTTGTCGTTGTATTAGCTTGGCTATATATTTGCATTATTAAATAGGTATTATCAGATAAGATCTTTGCTCTACAAGTTTTACAAGTGTTACATTGTAAATCGAAATGGGTGTATGCGCCTGTGCTCGCCGGCGGAAAGGCGTTGCGTGAAACGCCTAATAAAGCTAAAAGATCCGTGATAAGACGATGATGGAGTCACGTATCCTGTGGTTTTTGTCTAAGGTTTAATACTGACTGCATACGGGGAAAGAAAGTGTCCAAATCGGCGAAAAATCTGGTAAGACAGGCATTACATAGATTTATGTACCTACGTATGTATGGTCTGAGTTATATTGTACATTCTATGGCACAACCCTGATGTTGAAAGGACATCGATTCGTATAATAACTTAAATTTGCTTTCGTACCCATGTTTTTATTATCGTTTAACTATAAAGGATATGACATGGTAATGCATTTTAGGAAATATCATTTCATAATTTATTGAGTAATGGCCTTGTGAGCGTTGTCGAAATTGGAATTTTACAATGAAATGGGCAGTGTAACAAATCTAGGCTTATCCAAAACTATGTATAAATATAAATAAAAATCAAGAACAAACCATAAATATATTTTCTTAGTTAACATTCAAATGTATATTTGTAGGACTAGGTATTTATGTTGCTTAAATTGATTACTTTGTTTTGTGTAGGTAATATGCCCTGTGGATTGTTTAATTGAACAAACAATTCTCACATACAATACATAATAGATTGATGAAAATTTTACAAACAATTGGTGCAATGCTAGTGATTGTGATCGATACTCCGGGATTAAAATTCCAGTATTGGAATTTATTCATGTGTTAAATGATAAAACATACCTGAATTATAGATATTTTATTTATCAAATTATAACACAACTACTTTGTTTGGCACAAACTAATCTAAGCGTCTTCTCAATTCATTGCTATTTAAATTTTATAGTGATTATTTAACTTGAAAATCTATCAAATGGCCTTTCCATAAATGTTACAATTAAATATGAACACCTCCCAATAGAAAATATTTAATGTGACTAACAGGTACAGAAACAATTGATTCACCCATATTATTTATTCGGTGGCAAATACATCCTCATTGTTATATGATTATTTCTGTTCAGCGTGACTATTCGTTTTTATGATGACAATTTCTATATAAACCATTCCATACAAACCATCAGTTGCAAGTCCCGGGAACTCAAGAGTTTTTCTGTCTCCCACACGATGGACCCGGCACCCGCATGGTGAATCCATGGATCGCTAAGAAGTTCGTCTCTCACCATTTTAAAATCTCATTCATAATATAAAATAAAGTGAAATTATCAAATATCTTAGTAAATAAAACTAGTTTTTAGGAAATAAAAAAATTATTCCGACGATGCAGCCTGTAAAGGCTGCGAAACGTCAATAAATAAATAAAGTTTAGTGCATTAACCTGTGAAAAACTAGTTTCATTTAATGAGTGATGTGAGTGAAAACCTAAGAAACAAATATCTTAGTTCTGGTTTCAGTGTGACTTAAATTTCACTAGATTTGGTTTTAGTTTCTAAAAATATAGAACCATTCATAATTTCCCAAGAAGTTTTAAGGTTCTGAGAGATTAAGGCTCACTGTGTTTGGAGAATATTGATCAAAAACCTGGCAACCAATTAACTCTGTTTTAAATTTTGCCAATGGCCACGGAAGTTTAAGTTATTGAATTTTTATTTATTCTAAATCTCCTAACAAACTCTTTTTTTTGTATTTTTTTTATTTCAGTTGTAAAATCTGTAATTCAATTAAGCTAAAATTTTAAAGATAACCACATTAATTAATTATTATAAAGGCAGTATGAGGTTCACATGGGTCAGCTAGTTTGAGATAAATAAAACTAAGTAATAAAAGACAACTAGAGCGGCAATGAGGTTAATAATTCTTTGAGAAAAATTGAATTTGCTCTGTGAGTTAGCCAAAATGACAATACGGGCACCCGTATTGTCAAATTACTACTTCTCAATATATATCTTCAATTTCATGTTTACAAACTTTATAGTCGGAGAGCCCACTGCGAAATATCTACCCGAATCGGACTTACGGACAAATCGTGTACGATTCGATGGGGAATGTGGTCGTGATAGGGTTGCCAGACATGATAAACCCTGTATCTTGACCGAAGGGTCGAAAAAAGGGCCACTTCCGGTCAATTTTTCGGGAGCCTGCTACCCGGATAAAACTTACAATCAAAATTAGTGCCAATCGATAGGGGATGTTGAGCACTTTAAGGAAAAATCGGGTTGCCACCCCCCACCCTGTCAGGGGTTGCGGCAGCCACCCTTAAGTGTGACCCATTTTCCTATTGCACTACCCGGATCGAACTTACGATTTTTTTTTTCCAAATCGAAGCTTGAACTTTCCCCAACACGAAAAAATAGGGTTGCCACTTCTGACCTTGACCAGAACAGCCGTCAGCCAGCCCCGAGTTACCCAATTTCGAGGTTCCAATTTCGATCGCAATTTAACTACCCGCATCGAATTTACGATTTCCTTTTTTTTTAAATCGAAGCTTGAATTTCCCCGAACACAAAAAAACGAGGTTGCCAACTTTGGCCTTGACTGAAAATTTTTCTGCCAGTGAATTATGGCGTCAATATTAATTTATTTTATTTTGGAGCAGATCGAAGCGTTGAGATCGTGGCAACAGTGTAACGACAGCAGCTGCTACGTCCTCATGTATTATGGGGTCTTTTCAAAATTCCCAGGTAGAAGGGATCTATCTGTTTTCGGTCTAGCAAAAAAAAAATTGCCGGGTTATTGAAATAGAAGTAGATATGTGTCGTTACGCGTTTTCTAAATAACACAACGAAACGTTACCGGCGTTCTCACAACGTTGTCGAAAACGTCTATTTTAAAAAGATCTATTTTACAACCACCACGCAAAGTCAATATGTTCAAAAAACAGTTTATTTTGTAAAGGTTCGTTTTTC